TCTCTCTCTCTTAATTTGTGAGTATTACTGAACTCCTAACTAGTTTCTGGTGGAAAGTGCAATGTGTTCCAAACTATTCATTGTTTTCTGATAATAAATTGTTTGTGACAGTACTTACAAAGGTAGCGTGAAATCATGTTGCAGAAGAATCTGATGGAGGAGAAGCAACAGCTGAATTATGACCAGCCACTTCTGTCGGTGAGAAGATTCTCGCCAATGGTAGCCTCAGAGAAACATAATGCAAGGAAAGCAGACAAATCCCTCCCTGGTATACCTCGGCTTCCTCTTTATAAAACAGAATTGAAATCGGGTCCTGTAACGAATCCAGGAACGGTACCTTTTCTCTGGGAACTGCGCCCTGGACGACCGAAGGAAGAGATGAAACCACAGAGTGAAAACTCTGACAGACTTCCGATTGCCCCGAAACTTCCTCCTGGGAAATCTTCGATAGTCAATAAGAGCCAAGCAATAAATGTTGAAGCGGTAAACAATTTCGAGAGATGTAACAAAACAATAGAGAAGGAGACTTTTCATTTGGGGGATAGTGATGAAGCATATGCCGATGCACTCGATACATTCTCAAGCACTGAATCAATTTTCTTTAATTGTAGCACGAGTGGCTTAAGTTCATTGGATGAACTAGAGGTGAAACCATCTGGAACTTTTTCGACGGATCCATTGACAAGAGAATTCATGATGGAGCGGTTCCTCCCTGCAGCAAAGGCTATGGCATCAAAGACACATTTATATGCCACCAAAAAGCAAACCATAGTCCAAGAAAAACCAAGAGAAATAAAGATATTAATTAATCCAGATAAGCCTTCAATGCAGCACGGACCTAGTCTTGTAAAGCACTATTTACAATTCCAAGACAATGAAGAGGTAGAAGAAGAAAGTGACGAGGATTATGATCTAAACGGAAATTTTCCCGCAGTTTGTGGGTTACTACCGCGGTTCTGCTTAAATCACTCGTTCTGTCTCATACATCCTGTAACTGCAACGAGCACGAGGACCCGATTACCAAAGTCTTCGGTTAATAAATTGCACGACAGATCTTCAGCTGCTACTTCTTATAGTAAAAGAGACGCTGAGGTAAAAAAAAAAAAAAAAAACAAATCATAGTTTTCTTTCTCGTGTCCCCCTATGTGCTTATGTTTCCTAATCTTCGTCCTGGGGTTTTTGATGACTAAGTTGTATATTGGCTGCAGTCTAGGTCTAATTTTTCTGATCGAAATTCCGTTGGTACTCAGAATAGTTTGAGAACTGACTTCAATTCAAGTAGCCGTCAGAGACAGAATCCTAATGGATCATTTCTAGGCAAGCAACTAGAAGAACACAGCACATCAAAATCATTCGATAAATCGCCTAATAAAGAAAAAGGAGTCATCATTTTTCCCAAAGAATCAAAGAATCAGGGGATTAATGGCTTCGGATCACATAAAAAGGGCCATAAAACCTTTTGGGATTTCTTGTCTGAGAAGGACAGTTCAGAGGAATCATGTTCAGGAATTCCTGTTCTGGAGAGAACTCTGTATCTCGACGCTGTACAGAAAATAAAATCTCCGATCAGGGAACCTTTTTCTCCCAATATGCAAGGGTCGAAGGAACAGCCTAGTTCGAGTGAAAAAGAGTATAAA